GACTGCACTCCGTGCACTCAGTGCATTCAGGTCTAACCCGGACTTTGTTATTAAACCGGCTGATAAAGGGTGGTGCTGTTGTCATCTGGCGTTCTGACCTCTACCTTGCAGAGGCTGAGCTACCTTCCCCTGGACCATGACCCCACCATGAGGCTATTGTATCTAAAATGGTAACTGATCTAATTTCATTGTGATTCCCCCTCCCCCCATCCCCACTGCTTCCAAGCTGATAGTCACCCAGCCCCACACAGCTCACTTCTACCTCCTTCCAAAAATTCATAAACAGGACCCATTGTTGCAGCCTGCTCCTGCCCCAGAACTCATCTCTTCCTACCTTGACTCAGTCTTCTTTCCCCTGGTCCAATCCCTGCCCATGTATATCCACGATTCCTCCGATGCCTTATGCCAAATTCAAAGCTTCCAGTTTGCCGGTTCCAGCCCCCTCCTCTTCACCATGGACATGCAATCCCTTTACATGTCCATTCCCCAACAGAAGGGTCTTCGGGCTCTCCACTTCTTCCTGGAGCAGAGACCTGACCATCCCCACCCACCACCCTCCTCTGCTTGGCCAAGCTCATCCTCAATTTCTTTTAACTCATTTCCTTCAGGTAAGAGGCATGGCCATGCCTCTTTGTGGGGTACGTGGAACATTCCTTGTTCCAGTCCTATTCTGGCCCCATCCAGAACTGATACATTGGTGCTGCTTCCTTCTCATCTGGAATTGGAAAACTTCAATTTCGCCTCCAATTTCCACCCCGCCCTCACCTGGTCTCTCAGCCTCCTCCTTTCCTCGACATTTGTTTCCATTTCTGGGGTTGGATTGGCCACTAATATCCACTATAAACCCAATGACTCCCACAGCTACTTGGACTATACATCCTGACACCCCACCTCCTGTAAAGACTCCATCCCATTCTCAGTTCCTCCATCTCCACTGTACACGTTCAGATGAGGCCAACTTCGACAAGGGAGCCTCCGAAATGTCCACCTTCTTCCTCAACTGAAGATTCCCCAGCTCTGTCGTCAACAGGGCCCTCAACAAGGTCTGACCCATCTCCTGCACTAGCAATAGGATTCCCTTGTCCTTCCCTACCATCCCACCAGCATCCACATCAGAAGATCAGGTGCCATTTCCACCACCCCCAGCAAGATGCCACCACCAGACATATTCCCCTCATGTCTGCCTTCTGTGGGCATCATTCCCTCTGGGACATCCTGGTCCACACTGCCTTCACCCCCTAACACTTCACCTGCACTGCCAAGAATCTAGTCTACTGCATTCACTGCTCACAAAGTGGTCTCCTCTACACTGGGGAAACAAAGCGTAGACTTGGTGACCAACTTACAGAACATCTACATTCTACTTGCAAAGAAAAAAAGCTGGAAGAACGATATCTCATTTTCCACTTGGGGACCCTACAGCCCTCTGGACTCAATATTGAGTTCAATAATTTTAGGGCCTAACTCCCATGTCCCAACCCCCCACCCCACACACCAGGCTTTGTTACCACAGCCTGCTATTATACACCCTGTTAGTCACTAATAGTCCCCTTTAACATCTAATCACCCTTCCACCCTGATGGTTATCAACTCCTTTGTCTGTCTAACTGCTCTTCTCTCTTTAGGCTCTATCTTATTGTTTACTCCCCACCCCATCCCCCTCCCTTTTCTGCATATAAACTGACGTTTTCCCAGTTACCATCAGTCCGGAGGAAGGGTCATTGGACCTGAAACGTTAACTCTTCTCCTTCAGATGCTGCCAGACCGGCCAAGCTTTTCCAGCAACTTTGTTTTTGTTCTCGATTTACAACATCCACAGTTCTTTTGGTTTTTATTTAGCAAAGTTAACTTGCCTTTCTGGGCTATTTCCTCAGGGAATCTACAGAGTACTGCTACAGCCTATTATTGCCTTGGAACATCTGAAGTGGTGTGCAGCTGGGCTTTAAATATGATACCAGCACCATGAATTACAGAAAGCACATTCACCTCTCCTGCCAACCAATTCCACAAAAGGTGGTAGACAGCCCAGATGTATAGTGAAACAGTGGGCACAGGATTGAGAAAGTCACCAAGCCATGGCCAGGTGCCATGAATCTCAACTGAAAAAAGTGTGGTGGGGGCAGCCACACAAAAGTCAGACCAAGCAGAGAGAGACTGGGAACCTTTTAAAACAGCAGGTAGGACCTCAAATGCAGAAGGTCTACCCCATTTTTCACCCGCAGGTAGAAGATGGTGGTGTTATCACATAGGTGGGAACCCAACCTCAGCAGTACCATGTGAAATCATCATGGAGATAAAATTGACCCTATTTCTTGTTCCAAGCAGTTTAACTTGCAGCATGAGTCACAAGTGAAGGTACAGGCATGAATATTCTTGAAAGGTGGATAAGATGTTAATGTATTATGATAAAATGATTTCATCATACCTGTTCGTTAAGAGATAAAAGACTGATTTTTTAAGTAAAATTCAAAGCTATTGTTAGACAGCGAGGACGTCTGGCTTAGCCTTGGAAAAGTGTGCTCTTGCAATTTTAATAAGCTTTATTGTCGACATTTCCCAAGAGATATTACTACACAGATGAGGCCATTATAACCCAGCTTCAAAAGCTCAAAAGAAAAGCAACTTAATGGGATTGTGGAGTTGAATTTTTGATTGACAAGTTTAAGAGGTTCTAAGAGATTAGCAATCTTTCAGGTGTTTACCAGATAGATACTTATTTGGTTTAGTAACAAACTGACTGCTTGAGGAAACTTAAGATTCAATTGGTTTTAGGACTTTTACCCTGTAAAGTATGAATTAAAGCACTTTTACACTCTTAACAGTTTGACTTTACAACCTCCACAGTTCAACCTACCTATGGAGGATGTTAGGGGAGCATTTTTTCTTATTTATGGGATTGCGGGTGTCGCTGGCTGGCCAGCATTTCTTGCCCATCCCTAGTTACCCTTGAGAAGGTGGTAAGCTGCCTTCTTGAACTACTGCAGTCCTGCTGTAGGAGGACCCACAAAGCTATTAGTGAGGGAATGCCAGGATTTTGCCCAGGGACAGTGAAGGAATGACAATATATTTCAAAGTCAGGATGGTGAGTGGCTTGGAGATGGTGGTGTTCCCATGTGTCTGCTGCCCTGGTCCTTCGAAATGAAGTGGTCAGGGGTTTGGAAGGTGCTGTCTGAGGATCTTTGGTGAATTTCTGCAGTGCATCTGGTAGATAGTACACACTGCTGCTACTGAGCATCAGTGATGGAGGGAGTGGATGCAGTGCCAATCAAGCAGGTTGCTTTGCCTTGGATGGTGTCAAGCTTCAAGTGTTGTTGGGGCTGCACCCATCCAGGCAAGTGGGAAGTATTCCATCACACTCCTGCCTTGTAGATGGTGGCCAGGCTTTGAGTCAGGTGGTGAGTTACTTGCTGCAGTATTCCTAGCTTCTGGCCTGCTCTGGTAGCCAGTGTTTGCGGTGAGTCCAGTTGAGTGTCTAGTCAATGATGACCCCAGGATGTTCATAGTGGGGGATTCACAGATGCTAACACCATTGAATGTGTCAAGGGTGAGTGACTAGAGATTGTCTTATTGGTGGCAGTCATAGCCTGGCATTTGTGGGTCGAATGTCACTTGCCACTTGTCAGCCCAAGCCTAGATATTGTCCAGATCTTGTTGAACATGCACTGCTTCATTATCTGAGAAGTCATCTATGTGGTAAAAGTAATGGGAGATAGCATGGTGTTATCAGGGGTAACAGAGGTCAGAATTAGATGGTGCAAGTATTTAAAGCAGCTTGCCTTGCACTCATCCACCTCATAACTACCCCAGAGCTGCTTATGGAGGTAGCAGGCACAACCGGATCACAGCTCCAGGAAATTGTGCAAGTGGGTTGAGGATTTGCCAAAGTTGGCAGACTCACCTCCTTTTCCCACATTTAACTAAAAATCTAGCCTAAAGGTAGTCAAAAGCCAGCTAATGTCTTCAGGCTCCACAGAAGAGTTAGTTTTTGATATTTAGTCTTGCCTGGTTTATCCTCGTGCTCTGTATTTAGAAAATACTTTGTGGCTTCGATTTGCTTTAATTCATAGTCCTTTAGGGTCTTTGAATAAGAGCTCTTGGGTTCAGACTTGTTTTTTTTTTTAAAATACGCCTTGTTCTACTATGTATGCTCTGACATTGAGGAGGGAAAGGGGCTAGATTGGAGTTCTACACTTTCTTTGCAAGAACATAATTCTCTGGATTGTGTTAAAAAAGCCAGAGTTAAAAAGCAACAGACATTTACAGGGCTATGGGGAAACTGGAGGAATAAGTCTAAATTGATAGCTCTTTCAAGAGAACAGGAATGACCGGCTGAATGGTCACTTCTGTGCTATATAATTCTATTATTCTAAAGATCGGATTTTGAAGACAGGAAACAAACAGTAGCTTCCAGATAGTGAGAGGCAGACAGCTTGGAGCAAAGGTAGCTGTAAATAAAGTTACCCACAAAATGACAGAGTAAAAACCCAAACAATTTTGGATGCAAAGGCACAGAAAACCTGCGATATGCAGTAGTTAGTTTCAGGTGACAAGTGGATTTTGAAAGTGATTAAGAGTTCATTCTGGCACTCCAAACCATACCAGAAAAGTAATTATCATGACCATGAAGACCCAGTGATGAGCACCTTCCCACCAGAAAGGAGCATCAAATAAAGCAATGGTATTAAATCAGTGGACTAGTCACTCAGGCTACTGCTTTATACCCTTTAGGGGAACATCTGAAAGTTGGCATGACAAAAGGCATGGAAAATGTCCAGTGGAATTCTGAGTGGCAAGGGAGATGAATGGTGAGTGTGTGGGGGTCAATTTTCATTAAACTTGATATTCAGTAATACCCAACAATTTAAGCCACCTTTTTCTTTACAGATGTTGTTTGATCAGCTATACATTTCCAGCAATTAGTTCTTTCATCAAAAGCTTTGACAAAATGCTATTCAATCTGATAAAATACACATTGCCTAAATATTAATGTTTATCTCTACCTTTGTTGCAGGCAGTGTCTTTCTTGTGTTTTGATGCCTCCTCCGCAAGTCCGGGTGCATCCTGTCCACTTGGCCCATTCACCCCACCAAAAGGCAGTATTATCTAGTCCTTCTTCTAAACTATTAGAGGTCTGTGTCACTTGCTAGGGGAAATAAAATACAAGAATATTTATTTGAAATTGTATTTGTCTTGAAGTAGTGAGCTGAATTTTTACTTGCACAAAATACAGTTTCAGTGGATAAGGGTGAAAAGCATGGAATTGACTCCATGTTTGTCAATTTCCAACACCCTCAGCTAAAGCATGTTGTTAACTTTACTGTGCAATGTGCTCAATTACAGCAGTGTTAACATGGAGTTTAGAATTTAATCAGGGGTGATCAGGTTTCCTGGTAGAAAGAGGGAGAGGATGCAGGAGTAATTAAGAAGAATGAGAAAACAAAAAATGCCAACATCCCAAAAATACTTGAGCTTCACGATTTGTTTCTTGCTTGACTGTATGAAAGATTTTGTTCAGTTCTTGTGTGGCGAACTGCTTTCTCAATTTGGAACTTTGATTGTCTTGGGTAATGCTCATGGTGTGTAACACTGTAGAGTTTTGACCTGGATGAGAAATAAGATACACAGCACAAAAGCCTTCATATTCTAGTGAGTGCAAGAGGTAATGCACTAGCACTGCTGCTCAAGGTCCTCATTGTAATTATCATTTAGATTCGACTAGTCCACCAGCAACATACACTCCAACATATAGCAATTCTACAAACAACCCAAGCATCTCTTTCACAGCATGCACACTCCCATTGTTAAGTCATATGTTCCATTCATCACAAAAAGATCACTTGCCCAGCTACCAAAAATAGCTATAAAAGAAAATGGAATCTGTGTGTTGGTGTTTAGATTCTCAAAATCAAGCTCCACAATGGTGATGAAAAATTAGATGCGAGGATGGTGTCAGCATGGCAGTCACCAAAACAACTGTCTGTGTTTAAATAGTGTTGGACAATTCTAGACAACCTGTTGGCTGTACTCTTCTGCCACACCCACTTTTCCCTATAATTGGCCTTCTTCCAATGAAGAGCCATGAACCATCAACACTTCATGGAACAAGCAGGAAAGCTGGGTGAGCAGACTTTTGTTCTGTCTCCCCCATCCCACTGAAAAATGCAACATCCAGCCTAATGTGGCTCAAAAGTTAAACAGAAACCCAACATTTTAACACTGGAAGGGAATCTTGTCCTTACTCTTCCTGGATGCATTTCTACGAAGCCACAAGGTTGCAGCAAAAGGCTTACCAGAATCCCATTGCTGTGATGCTCCAGATGGAGATGTTTCTAGGGTACATTCAGCATAAAGAAGCATCAAGGCAATTCAAAGAATGACTCAAAGAAGGATTATACCAAGCCATAAAAAGTGAAACTTGATCAGAGGTTGGTTTTTTAGTCGTATTATGAAAAGGATGAAAGCAAAAGAGGCAGAGGTATAGGGAGGAAAGTCCTTGATGCTTGGGCACTAAAATCCTCAGTAGAACTGGGTGGTGAATTTTTAGAATTTTCTATGCCAAGGCTGTGGAAGCTCTATAATTGAGCACATTCAAATAAAAGAAAGTTGTATTCTTATCAAGACAATAATGTTTTGGGGACAGTGCACAGAAGTGGCATTCAGGTAGATGATCATTGAAGAGTCAATGGATTAAATATCCTACACTTGTTCTTAGGTTCCTAAATCACCACTACCCTCTGACTCCTCTCTTGTTCCATACTTGAAAGCCTGGTGGAAGTTCAAAGAATGGATTAGAACTGGTAAGTGATTACTATATACAACCATGTTTTTTTCTCTTGCTACAGATGTGAAATTTTAGAATCCTTAATGATAATGTAGTAAAGTTGCCATAGTCTTAAATCATAGATCTGCTTTCTCATTAGCAAAATGACTAGTGGTGGTTTAACTCGAGGATCACCACGTCTCACGTAAGGATAGAGGCTAAGGAGTCCTTCATGGTAACCACAGTTGGTGCAGGAATTGAATCCACACTATTAACATTACTCTGCTTCTCAAACCAGCCAATTGAGCTTCAGGGGCGTTAGGCTCAATGTACACAGCTGGTCATGGGTGGATGATACAAAATTAGTGGGGTGGCAAATAGGGAGGACAACAGCCTTAGATTACAGGAGGTCAAATCAGGCTGTCAGTGGCAAACTGAATTCAATCAAGATAATTGTGGCATGATATACTTGGGCAGGACAAACAAGGCAAAGGGAATACATGGGCAGTAAGGTCACAAGGAAGAGACTGTATGCATGTCCACTGTTCCCTTAAAGGTAGCAGGACATGTGAACATGAATGGTCAAGAAAGCTTATAGGATAATGGCTTTTATTAGTCGAGACTGTTTAAGCACAGGGAGCTTATGCTGGAGCTGTAATACATTGGTTTAAAAACCCTCATAACATTAATATTTAAGGGGCAGCACAGTGGCTCAGTAGTTAACACTGCTGCCTCAGAGCACCAGGGACCTGGGTTCGATTCCAGCCTTGGGCAACTGCGTGGAGTTTGCACATTCGCCCCGTGTCTGCGTGGATTTCCTCCAGGTGCTCTGGTTTCCTCCCACAGTCCAAAGATCTGCTGATTAGATGGATTGGCCATGCTAAATTGCCCGTAGTGTTCAGGGAATGTGCAGATTAGGTGGGTTATAGGGGGTATTGGTCTGGGTCTGGGTGGGATGCTCCAAGTGTCAGTGTGGGCTTGTTGGGCTGAAGGGCCTGTTTCCACACTGTAGGGATTCTATGAACAGGCACTTACAGATACACTCGTGATGCCAGGGTATACTACACCGTGGGCCAAATACGGGACCATGGGAATAGAATAGTTAGGTGATGGTTTTTGATAGCACAGACTTTAGTTGAAAGGCCTTTGTACTGTAGACTTATGACTGTAAAGTTCAAAGTGTGCTTTGGCTACAGAGAACAGAGGGAATATCTGCACTGGTAGAGATCAACATTCTAACTTATTTTCAGTTTCAAGCTGTTCAGTTACTCAAGAATTGAATCAGTCATTGTCAAGCAAGAGACCCTTATTAGTCTGTAGACAAATCACCTTGTTGACACTCAAATGCAACTGTAGACAGAACCCCTTGGCTCCTATTCATCTGCAACCACTTCAATTACTGCTTCTTCAAAACATCTGTACAAATAAAGTTTGCCATAAGAACAGTGACTATGTCCTTAATTGAAATGTATGGAGAAAGTTTTGAAAACAGGCATAATTTTACGGGATGGAAATTGGTACCAGTGATGTTTTGTGGCTATGGATTCCTGCAAGATGCAAATGATCAAGAGTCAATGAGTTGTTTACTAGAAGGTAATGGATTCTCAGCTAAGCAGGTTGGAACTGGAAACAAGTTACTAGACAGGGAGAGCCTGCATGCCACAAGGGAGAGCTGCCACAAGCTCAGAAGCTGCCAGATCTCTGCAGTAAAAACTCAATTTAAACTGGTTGCATTTTCTGTAGCAGTTGCTGTTTGCTGTGACTTTTGAAGTAATAAAAGCAACTGATTCACTTGGAAAATACCTGACGTGTACTTAAAAACCAGTGAATGTTTCCAAAGACAAATGAACATGGACAGCCTGTCTAGCCAAAGTCGCACCAACTTGACACTGAAATCAGGAAGCAATGACCACTAAACTGACTTTTCAGCATTTCTCTACTTTTGCCAATAACTTTTTTCCCCGATTTGTTTCTGTGCATGCATAGGTGTGTGTAAGGAGGAGTTTAAGGGGATTTAAAGTTTAGCTAGTATGTCAGTAGCTTATCTGTAGTTATAGTTTAATCACTTAAGTACTAATTAGTTTATCACAGAAACCTTGTCCATGCTTTTGATGAACTTTTGAGAATGTCAGGTAATTGGGGTACTTTGCATACTTTAACATTTATTAAAACTCTGGAAATAGCAGGGCTTGATTTACAGTTTGCTACTCGTGGGTCATAAATGGGTTGCTTGCTTTCAAACGATGCAGCCATCCTCTCAAAACACTGGTTTAAGAGGGCTCTCATTTCAGTCCACAACTTAAAACACAATGGCCCCAAATTTTCAGAATAATGGCACGTGTTCAGATGGTAGGAAAACACTTCGTGACAATGCAAAAGATGCTAAGCATTACATAAAGATGAAAGTTAACTATTGGTGGTTGAAGATGATTAGAATGAGAAAGCATAGAGAATGTGTGTTAGGTTTCTGGAGCACTGTTGGACCTGCAATCATTCAGGCACATGTGGGATATTCCATCATGCTCCTGACTTGTACCTTATAGATGCTGGACAGGTTGAGGAGTCAGGAGCAATGTTCCCTTTAAAAAATTATGCACAAGATGACCAGCATTGGCACTCAATTGCAGCACTGTGTTTTGCTTCTGGAAGTTGCTGCTGGGCAAGGGCCTTGGAAACCTGTGCAGCCATAAGAATATTACAGAAAACACTGGTCAAGAGGGGAATTAGTTACTGCAGTATTCCTAGTCTCTGACCTGCTCTTATTCCATGGTATTTATAACAGTCATACAGCACAGAAGCTGACCCCTTGGTCCAACTTGACCATACCAACCAATTTTCCCCAGACTAAAAACGAGTCCCATAACTCCATTTGCAATGTTTATATAATTTATATTACATGGCAATGGTTACCTGCTGCCTCACAGCACTAGACAGCCAGGTTCAATTCCAGCCTCAGGTGACTGTGCAAACTCCACAGACATCCTCCTAGTATCTGCATGGATTTCATCTGGGTGCTCCAGTTTCCTCCCACTGTCCAAAGTTGTGGGAGTTGGATGGGTTGGCCATGCTAAATTGCCCACACTGTCTGGGGTTGTGCAGGCTAGGTGATAGCCACAGGAAAATACAAGGATAACGTGGTGGTGGGGAAAATAAAGGTGGTGGTCTTGGTGGGATGCTCTGAAGGAGAGTGCAGACTTGATGGGCTGAATGGCCTCTTTCAGAACTGTAGGGATTCTGTGAATTTCTACTTTGGCATCAATTTCTATGCTTTGTGTCCTCACTATGTATTCCACTGAAACTTTGATAGTTTGGGAACTTCTAAATTGCAGGTAGGATTTTCACTACCAGCTAATACAAACAAAGTGCTGAAGAAACTCAACTGA